CTAGACAAACTTTTCGCTTCATTCGCTCTATTACATTGTGAAGATGGATATATACATATATATATGTAAAAGAAATAATGTAAATAATATATATATTCTGTAGAAATCTTGAGATTAGAAAAACAACTTGATACAACTTGCTTGGATAGTATGAAATCGCATAACGGAAAAGAAACGTTTGCAGATGAAGCCATTGATTCAGCATAGTTTGATTTGCTAAACGGAGCAGGCCATGATACGGATAAATGAATTCTCTCATCATCATTTATGGGTGAGCTATGTACTCCTCAATTCTATACAGCTTATATCTTTTTAGACAAAGGAAGAAGCTGAGCAACAAAGAGAAACAGGAAAAAGGGATGCTCAAAGAGTAACAGCAGATCATTTTATACAGATTCATTTTATTCAAATTTTGAACTGCGATTGGATAAAAAGTATTCACACTGCTACTCTCAACTGATGGCATAATGAGGATTAATTTTCAGAAGACGCACTTTAGATGCATGTATTTTTACATACAAGGGGGCGTAGCAAATTAGAATGATGAATTAAAAGGACTCTTGATATATTAAAGTTATTAGTTTTCTTTCATATTTTATGTCTCACATATTTATATTTGCTTCTCTCTTCGTAGCTTTGATATTTACATAATTTTTTTGTTTATTTAACCTTACTACATTAATGACAACAAGAACATTTTGCATGTAAGGTGTTATAACATGAGGAGATTCCAGATAGATCATTTTAGTTTTTTTCAGTTTTTATGGGTTTGCATACGTAGCAACTTCAATCATTCCAAAAGAAGGCATCGTTTTAAATCAACCCAAATTTTGAATTCACAATTTTAATTACAAATTCATTGTTAGCAACGCTACTGTTTTATTTAGATAGAAATATGTTATTCAAAAATTATCTTAATAAGTCTGTAGAGTCCAGTAGATAAATTTCTGTATGAAAACTGGAGTAGCAGGAAAGTACACAAGAGAAGGTTTAAAGTACGATTTATTGGTTCTTTAAAATTTACAATGTGTCAACTTGTCGCTAACAAGCTTCGCCTCTGCTTGGGCGGTAATTGAAAATCAAATAACGAAACTAAAATTTGAAGATATTAACAAATAACAGAAGTAGACTACAGGACTCAGCGAGATCCCGTAACTTAAGCCCCGTTCGAGACTTGTGGTAGCAAGTAAATGCAATTAAACCACTTGAACCAGCAATAATCAAATGTACCATACGACAGAGACGGCGACTAACTCTCCCTTTCTCCTACCGAAACTCGGCTTTTAAATACTTTCTACAAATTAGAAATTTGAATTCCTTCACGCGCGTTACAAAATTGAACTATTCTGGTACTGACAATAAGGGGAATGGAGGAAAATTCTAATTATAGGAAAGTTCTAAAATTAAACGTTAACTTGTTAGTTAAATAAAATAAATCCCTACAAGTCTGTTAAACGTTTGACTAGAAGTACAGTTTTGAAAGCGCAAATTAAGAATTTGGCGATACTTATCACATTGTTCAAATTAATATTACACTTCATTCACGAGTACCGTAACGCATTCATTACAATAAAATGAATAGCAATTCTGATTACTTTTAATTCCTCTTCTTTTGTCAGATAAATGTATGAAATAAGAAATGAAACAGAAATACTGACAAAAGAATTAAAATATTTATTATTTAAACAGAAATCTTCGAGTTATGCACAAGACATTTAAATATCTTTACTGTAAAATATGCGACTTAATTAGTCTTGTTAGGGAATTAATCTAATTAGAACATGAAAACGTTTTGAGCAAAGAAATTTTTCCCAAAATTATTTGGAATGTTACTTTTTTAACATACATCTTTCTCAAATGAGGCCTTTGACAATTTATTTGAGCTACAGATTTACGAAAATATCTTCAAATCGATATATGAGAATTATATTTCAATTTTTATAATGTAATTATAACAATATTTATACACAGATATAATTACAGAGCTATAATGTTCGTAATTACTACAACTATGCATTTCGAAATGAAAGAAGCGTTTGTCTTAACGCCTTAAATTAGAAAATGATGAAAACACATGCTGCATCTAAGCAACTGTAACAAAATAAAGAGTTAAATCAGCCCCCAGTAGCGTGGTTATCGGCTGCTGAATTTTTGTAATTCATCTTGGGTTCGAATCTAGGAAAACGGGCTGCTTTTCTGACTTCATTTGTCCTTTTTCTCGTGTGTAATATAAATGCGAGCCAGTTTCCTTAAAAAGCCGTCGACTAAGACATTTCTCTAGTTAGACGAATAATTGTCGCGTATTTTGCCATATTCAAATAAACAACCATTCTTCTTAAGTATTGCATTCCACTGAAAGAATCTACAATGCGAAATACGTAACTTTATATTTATAAACCCAGAAAGACTTTTTAAGACGTAAATATTCTCACTGAAGTTATTAATTCATAAAAAATAGACTACTGTTAAGAGTTAGTGTTTATCAATATTAAACAGAATCTCTGGTTAAATTTAAGCACACGAATTTTTAAGGAATCCTAACATAAACAAAAACATGTTGGAATGCTCTCACAATATTAACATAAATCAGATATCTAAATTAGCAAATAGTTACATTTGTTTACTATTTAGGTTAGAAAGATACACGAAGCTAGGCACAAATATTCTTAGAAAAGTATATTATGTTTCTGACAGCAATTGCAAATTTCATTTATGTAATTAAACTTCAGTGCGTTACAATGATTACCTTCTCAGTATTGAAATATAATGAGGTAAAACCAGTCAAATAAAATACAAACTATCCCGTTTGTAATATTTTCTTTTCTAAACATTGCATGAAATATTCATAAGAATTATTGCAATAGAACATTGAAAATGTAACTATTTTTAATCATTTTACCATTGTAAAGAAGATATCAATTTTTGTGTTAAAAATGTAGTTAGAACTTTATATGATTCTGTATACTTAGCATTTGAGTCATGAATTAGTAGTGGCTTGAATAAATGTAATTACAGTGGAAAACAACTTCATAATAAAGATTCTTTCTTCGTAATATATTCTAAGAACATTAAAAAGGTATGTTAAAAATTAATTCCCTCCACATGTAATAAATATGGCATCTCTGATCTATATTTTTTAAAACAATTATTCACTGTTTATTCCCATTTTACTCTAGGTGTCTTAAATTTTACATTTGCAGGCATTTGAGGAATTGTATTAATAACGAATCATTATTATTCATCTATCTGTGTAGGAAAAAGCTAAGCAAGTAAACAGTATATAAAAATAATTGATTGTTTCATTTCTATTATGACTATTTCTTTGTTTGATTTGCATTTTGTATATTGAAAACAAATTGGTGCTGGATGAATCTAATTGTATCCCGAATGCCTCATATTCAATAAAAACTGCAAATGTTATAAAGAAGGAGTTATTAATTATCAGAAGATAGCAAATCTAATCGAGATAATTAGTCTTGCTTTCTAATCTACACATAATATATTAGATGCTTCTTTATTGCTTCAATATGTTATTTTTTAAGACAGGATCTTATTAAATTTGAATATTTATTTCACATTGCCACTCAGCGCAACTGAAAAGAATATCCATTACAATTGGGTTACCTAAACATCTTAATGTCCTATACGGGTTTGGACAGCTGCCCAGCATCATCTGGAAATAGAAGTGAGCTGGTATTGGTAAGGGTCTGCGAATTCCTTTTGATTTGCCCCGACTTGAACAAGTTCATCTTGATCAGGAAACGATCCACCCAAGGAGAGCTATTGTTCACTCTATAGGAATATTTTACTTTATTTTAAAACAGCTAATTGTTCAGACCAGACTTCTTTTGCCGTCTGCAAATTATTACGGTATTTTGCATTCCCAGGGGTTGCAGAAGTTAGCTTTATATTTCTGAACTAAAATTCATCTAGAAAATGGGAACAACGAAAGCATGATATTCTCAGATAGAAGAGAAGCAAAAGTTTGGTCATACGATACGCAAATGTATTTTTAAGATGAAGGTTGCATTTAATGATATTTTTGTAATTTAAATTTCGACACTTATTCCAAGATGATTAATATTGTAAAGAAAGGTTTTTAAACACTTTTTCTATAATGCTGAAATTTGCATCTTAAAAATTGATACCGTAAAATATATTTTTTCGAATACTTCAATTTAAGTAATAAAAATCGATTTTATAAATTTTAAAAATAATTCTTTAAGTTAATTTTCTTTGTTTCAGGCTTTCTTAGATATATACTATTCTTTGTCTAAGATAATTAATTTTTAATTTAATAATATTTAGTTATTATATACAGGTTGCAGCAGCGTTAATAGCGTAATTTGACTTGCGTAGTACAATGACGTACTGCATGTGCCTTTGCTGTTGAACGTTATTTCAAGATTCCGTTATTGCTACCCAGGATCTATTTCGGCAACATTTCAACTCGGGACGTCATGTGAAAGTTCCAGATGGACGGACCATTGCGATAGACATTTCCAGGTAGAGTAATTTCCCGTTTTGTTTCCATTTCCTGGCCGCCTCGCTAACCTGATCTTTCATGTGCAGACCTTTTCCTTTGCGGCCACTTGAAGCAAGAAGTTTTCCGAACGTGTTGTGCCACCATTCCTGAGTTGAAGGATCGCATCAGAACTGCCGTCGACAATGTCCCAGGCAATACTTTACGCCGAGTCATGGCAAGCTTCCAACGCCGCCTAGATGAATGTGTTGTGCAGAGGAGGCATCATTTGACAGGCATCATATTCTAAATGTAATCCACGCAATGGACAATGATTTACACATTAGTAAATGGCATACATTTAACTATTAATTGACATAAGAGGTAATACATAAATTGCAGTTATTTCCTTATGGTGTGTTTTTAATATCCTGCTATGAACGCTGTCGCACCCTGTATAAGGGTTTAATTTTTGGTTTTAGAGAAGCTATTAAAAGTTTTGAAATTATTTTTATTTACAATTTTGTTTCCTTTTTAGTGCGGATGGTAATTACGAAGTCCGCTACAAATCCAACGTCCTGATTTATCCTGAAGGCCAAGTCATGTGGGTTCCACCAGCCATCTACCAGAGCTCTTGCACCATTGACGTCACGTATTTCCCTTTTGATCAACAGAAGTGTGTTATGAAATTTGGATCCTGGACTTTCAATGGCGATCAAGTGTCCTTAAAGCTCTATAATGACAACTACTGGGTGGACTTGTCCGATTACTGGAAGTCCGGGACATGGGATATCGTCGAAGTTCCGGCCTTTCTTAATATCCACAATCAGTCCAAAAGTGGCCAGCCGACAGAAACGGACATCTCTTTCTACATCACTATCAGGCGGAAGACTTTATTCTATACGGTCAACTTGATCCTGCCTACGGTGCTCATTTCCTTCCTCTGCATCCTAGTGTTCTACCTTCCAGCCGAAGCCGGCGAGAAAGTGACCCTCGGTATCTCGATCTTACTCTCGTTGGTTGTCTTCCTTCTGCTGGTTTCAAAAATACTGCCACCGACCTCGCTTGTGCTGCCGCTCATTGCTAAGTACCTGCTATTCACCTTCCTTATGAACACAGTATCCATTCTGGTCACTGTGATCATCCTCAACTGGAATTTCCGGGGGCCTAGGACTCATCGGATGCCCAACTGGATCCGAGTGGTCTTCCTTAAGTACCTGCCCATCATGCTATTCATGAAGAGGCCCAAGAAAACGAGGCTAAGGTGGATGATGGAAATGCCCGGACTAGGTACCCATCATCACTTTCACGGAGGCTCTCCAGACCTGAAAAAGACTGCCACCTGCCACACGGTCAAAGGTGCCAGAGGCAAGATGGATTTTGTGGAAATGGCCGATATCCATCATCCAAACTGCACCGTTGCCCGCAATCCTCAACAGGTCGGGGAGCCACAGCTTAGAGACATTGAAGGGGCAGAAACCCTCTATCTCACGCCAGAAGCATATAGAGCTACGGAAGCTATCGAGTTTATTGCCGAACATCTCAGAAGTGAGGATGAATACATACAGGTACAGAAATTTATGAACTTAATCTCTCTATATATACTTGATATGCAACAGTTAAAATTTTGTTTTAAGTACCTTACTTTAGATTGTGAAATTTAATATACATTTATATATATATCTATCACAATATCATATAAAATGATAAAAATAACATCATATTTACACAATATCATATAACAAGATAAATAACGTAACATAACAATTTATTGCTATCATACATTATTTATCTTGTTACTTGAGAATTTTTTCCATGATGACTATTTTAATCTGATGGCTCAATTTTTAAATAGCTCTTGGAAAGAAAATTAAGCAAAACTTTTCTTGATGGCTTTGTGTTATCACTTAAATAATTTTTGGGTCTTAATCTTTATATGATCCGATGTATATAAGTAAAAGGCAAATCAGTTTTGAAAAGTAAAAAGCATTCAAGAGGAAGTCTGTGGATAATATTATATCTTAAGTGTATTACGAAAGATGAAATAACTAGATATGTCGCCCTTTTCATTGCATTTAATTCAAAGAATTACGAATTAGACAACGCAGCGCATTACGAATTGCTTAATGTTAAGCTAAATAGAAGCAAAAAGAGTATGTATAATTAAATATTAATGCCAATCATTTGTAATTATGAAGATAAAACATTTTACAAAATAAAATAAAAGTTAAATTAGTCTAGCGTGTTTTCGCTAAGAGTACTGTATCTAAACATTAATATATTTCTTTGACGAATATCTACAGCAAAATGTCAGAAGAAAATTATTAGTTTTGATAAATGCAATTTATTAATGAAAGAACAATGATTTCTTACCTATTTGCAAGCATTGCTTTTGTATAAGCATGGAATTGTCACAAAATTTCTTGTTTTAAGAGAGAAGAACTTACGTAGTCAATTTTCCATTTCCAGTAGTTGACGAAACTTAAAACTAATGATACCATAATTTAATTTCTGAAATAAAGTTCAATAAAAAATACTTGCGAAAACCCTAGAGTTAACTAAAGTCTATTGAAAAGGCAGGATGCTCTAAATGGTAAATCACTTTTTTAGCTGGAAAATATCTTAAAGTAGCATATTGTGATCATGTGTGTGAGATAAAATCTCTTTCATAATTAGTTTTTTTAGTTAAAATCAGCCTAATATTTTTTTCTTTGCAGTTTATCTAGCCCAATATTTTAGTTTGCAATTTTTCGAATTATAATCTCATATTCAATAGTTTGTGGGTCATATCATATAACATAATCTTGAGTATCAACGTTTGCCGGTTTGGCTATTCGTTTTGGAGATCAAAAATTCAAAAATTCTCGTGCAACTTTCAGCTTTTATGAAATTTATGTCATAAAATCACACTTGATTTTTCCAAAGCATTTTAATCATGTACCATCGGCAACAAGTCTCACCATTAGTTAGCAGCTTTTCAAACTTCATGCAAAATTTGGTATTGATATAGTGCTCTAAATTTGGATTCTTTATTATCAGCCTGAAATACATGCATAGATATTTGTTTTCTGCTCAACAGCTAGTTAAGGTCTTCTGTTATGAGACTCGAACACTCACATTATTTTCATACAATTTCGTCACAGAAGGATGGATGGTATTTCGGAAGTTAAGCTATAGTAGGTACAGCGAAATTTTTCTAGCAGGAACAAGTAAAAATAATTAACAATATTTTAAAGTATACATACCCTGCTATTTTGAACGTCATTTTAGTCTCCATTTGTTTTGTTGGATGAAAAAATTCAAATGAATCTGCGGTAATTAGGTTAAGCATTTTTATTTAATTTAAACTTATTTCTGAATCCACTTCTTTTATTAGGAAAATGATACAGATTTTCAGTAGTGTTTTTAATCTATTATTTGTGAAGACAGAAAAACAGCGAAACGAAAAAGAAAAATAGTGAACAAATACTAATTAACATTAAATAGAGTTTAATCGCACATGTTTGGCGCTTTATATATCTTAAGTGTTTTTTATTTTCCCATCAATAAAATGAAAGTACTTTTGACAAGCCAAAATAACGAATAAAGGTAAATCGTTGTATCAGCAACCTGAATAGAAAGCAAAACTATAACTGTATGCTATTTATTGAACAGTATGTAATGTAATAATCAGTGGTATATGTCATGTGTAAATTTTTGTTTGTACATGTGTATTTTAGTATCCTGAAGACTTTTTTATACAGTTTTATTCATATAATCCTCAACTAATAAAATTTCAAATATCATCAAAGATATTATTAAAATTAATCGAAACAGCATCTAAAGAGCAGCAACTCATAATTTGTCAAATTCGAGAACTTAGTTCATGCATCAAAATACTACGTTTCGAAATTTTTAAATGTAATCTTTGATACTAATTTCTAAAACAAAAGCTCATATTTTTATCTACATTACGTTTTGAGATGATTTCTAGCAAAATGCTAAGTGTTTTAATCTCAGAATAGCTCCAAACAAAAATTTGCTTTAAATGATTTAAGCTTTATGCGTTTAAAATTTGAAGTTCAAAGTTTTATTAAATATAAACCACAGCTTCGTTTAAAATTCTCGGAAAGTAACTGATATCCGCAGCCGCTGGTAACCGATCAAGGACCAAACTGCTATTAAACTGTAGCTTTTGTCAATCAGATTTTGAAGAAAATTTAGATTTTAAAATTGTAGCCTATAACAAAATTCTTTGAGTTAAAATTAACTGAGTATTCATAGAAATAAATCTGTAATACTTATGAAATAATTTTATGATTAAAGATTGAATTTCAAATGTAAACTCTTTTCTATCATATTGGAGGTGTAACTGAATATTGGATGAGTAATTAAACTGACCAAGTGGTTTAAAGACAGATATCAGTTCCCAATAAATATTTCGCAACAAATATTCAAAATGAAATGTTTACATGAATATGACCCACAGGATGTGTTTATATTCATGTCTTTTAGCAATTATTTTAGAATATTTGCTTTAAAAATACTACATTAAACTATTATTTCACGAAATATGTATACGAACTTAATGAAAGTGAAGAAATACATATATCAGTTCGATAAATGAAGATGATTTTGTAAAAACATACGTTTTTACTTCCTTGTACGTAGTAAAAAGGAAGTATTGTAGTCGCGAAAATTTCGAGTATCATATTTCGACGAAAATATACATTTTTACCGCTATCAAATGCAATTTAACGCTGTTTTTGCGTGAAATCAATACGTAAGGCCAGAATAAAGGAATCCTCCTCCCAAAAAAAAAATTATAAAACCGATTTAAAATGAATTCTGAAGAGAATTTTTTGTGGAATATTCTGTTCGTACGTACGATAAGTATGTATGTATCTCGCATTATTCACAAACGAGTAGCCTCAGAAGTTGAAATTTTGTATATACAACTGATATTTTGTATATTTCAACCATAATATTAGGAATTTTGTAGATTTCAACCATAATATTAGGAATTTTGTAGATTTCAACCATAATATTAGGCGCACATCTAGGCCGCACCAAAATTATATATATATGTCCCCGTTAAAACATTATTAACATTTTGCTTTCAAATTACTTCAAAACATCTTTCAAAATATAACTTACCATATGGATGCACATTTTAAAATAATTCTACTTTAATTAACTAGGAGATAATATAATCAATTAATCAATACTGTTTAGGAAATAAATTATTATAACTAACTTGCAGCCATGCGCAAGTATAATAACTTGTATTCCCCTAAAGGATTTAAGATCATACAACATTATATATATATAGTATATATTCACTCTGTTACTCGGCTCAGGGATCTCAGTTTCTTTATTCTTATATGTTTGTAAATTGTACACTTTTTGCTTTAAAAATGATTGAATTATATTGTTCTCATCTTCCGGTGAAGGGCTTTATGCCTTTAGTTAATCTGTATGCATTATTTGTAGAATTATACACTTCTACACTGCGCTAAACATATTATATACCCAGGAATACAACTTCTGTAAAAATTGCTTTAAATAAATAAATTAATTAAATTAAATATCAGTGCAAATTGCTAAACAATGAAGTATATTCAAACAAACGAACCTAAGCAACATATTCACCTAATTTACAATAATATTTTGACTTAAATTTATAGTTTTGACATTGAACATAATTCGTTAAGTTCAGTCATTAACTGTATCGAGAATTAATATTTGGTGGCAACAATTGGAAAAGTGTTGCAATCATTTATAGTGATTTAACGAAGAATCCCTTTTCGAAACTAACAACCCATTTAGACTAAAGCTGTTTTGGGACTAAAAGGAATAATAAACTTTGCTTTACTGTAAGTATAGGATCTAAATAAGCAAAATAACCGCCTTATTTTTGAAGAAACTAAACTATGCAGAATTTTCATGTATATACCTATGTTCCTGGCATAGTGAAAAAGCGACACCACCCAGATCCATCAAATTTTGAATAACGCAGTCCTCCACCCGAACATGTGCACCTGGAAGTCCGAAATTTGAATTTCGAATTTTATATTTCATATTTTGTAAAACTTCAGTGAATTTTTTATGAATAAACCAACGACATGAAAGCGACCAGAGGCAACACTATACGGAATAAAACATTTTTACCTCCAGCGAGGAGACTATCTATCGGAAATTTTGAAGGTATGCTGTGTAAATATTTTGTGATATTTCGGTCGAATTGAATTTCATGTGGCATAAGTGCGAATAACATGATATTAAATAAATAAAGTTAACACCCAAAATGTTAATAATATAAAGATTTAAAAATATTTTAAGTCATCTTACTAAGAAAGCTGAACATTGATATGATGAACTGAGAAAAGCCTGAAAGAAACAAAAAAATGTTTATGCCAACACTTAACACTGACTCAGGAATTCTAAGCATATGTTATATGTTGCTATCCTGTTTTTAAATTTTTGTTAATTTACTGTTGAATTGTATATGGCGTAGATGAGAACAAAATAATGCTTAATAATAAAGCTGAAAAGACAAATGGGTTACCAGGAGTAAGTGCAATAGTAAACTGGTAGATTGCGAGCTTAGCAAGAGCGTAAAAGTCTTTAATAAACCCTTTTGGGCGATTGTTAAAATCTGAAATCTTTTAGATTAAAAAAAATA